TAACAATTTGTTATTCCCGGCACTCTTAACTTCAACAATTCTCTTGAATTACATTTACTAGTGTGCCACTTAATCGTGCTCTCTTCAAAATTGTGTTTTCATTTATTTGGATTGGCCTATAAGTAGTGATGTTTATTAGGGTATTAAGCAAGTCTTGTGTTATTTAATTCATATGATGTGTTTCAAGAAATGATATTCTTTTTTCAGTTAAATATTACAATGTGATTCTTTTGAGCTTTCAAAACTCTCAATGGGTGAAAATGCTCATTTGCAGGTGATTTAACTCATAATATTTTAGTTTAAAAATTTTAAATTAATTGACGAGATATTTAAAAGAAAATGATTATCTCTTTTTATATAATTTATTAATATATATAAAAACTATTTCCTTCATCCAATTTTAATATATTTTGTTTTTTTATTTAATAAATTAAAAATATAATCATTAATTAACAAAGTTTTATATTTATCTTTAATTAAATACATTTTAAACAAATATTTTTATTTAATATATGTTATAATTATTTTAAAAATAAAAATACATAAAAATATACACATTAAATAATATTTTTAAAAAAATAACCATATTTAAACTACACAATTAAATTTATGAAAGTTTCGTGAGAAGGTAACTTACCACTATGTGGCCCCGTGGTTACTCTTCTTATCGAGAAGCAAAGTGGGAGCACCCTTGAGGACAAGTGCAATTCGAGTCCCAAGTTAGATACTTTTTCATCTTTTTACGAACAGATATTAATTATACAAATATAATTTTTACAGTAAAAATTTTTTTTTTTCACGAGAAGGTAAAGCAAATGCGCTCAAATTACAATCGAAAAGTTTTCCACACGTACTGTGATGTGAAAACTTGAGTTGAGTTACTTTTACTTCGGGTGGCCTATCGATCCAATGATAATTGGCTGTAAGTATTGCAATGAATTAAAAAACTGACACCTTTCGCAGCTGTTGGATCATAAGAAATTTTATTCCTGGTATGACTTGGATTACCATCCTTCTTCGTTTAGGAATTGTACAAAACCAAAACTATAAATATACGTTTCTAACAACACAACTTTGTTTCAAGTAATTGCGTTATGGAAGAAATCGCTATGGCAAGATTCAAGAAGGGCAGCAAGGTCGAGGTTCTGCGTCAGGGGCATTGGCTCTGTGGTGAGGTCGTCTCCGGCAACGGCCACAATTACAGCGTCAAGTTCAGTTGGTTTCGGGAGAATAGGGAGGGAATAGTACACCGGCTTCCTAGAATGGCTCTTAGACCCATTCCTCCGCCACTTGAAGTGTCCAGGAAGTGGGTGTCTGGCGATCTTGTTGAGGCGTTCGACAATCCATACTGGAAGAAGGCAGTGGTTCAGAAGGTTTTAGGGGTGAACAGATTTTCTGTTAAGCTGGATGGGTACACCGCCAATCTCATTTTACCCAAATCCCATCTGAGAGCTCGATGGCGTTGGGAAGACGGCAAATGGCTAGTGCTTCAAAAAGTACTGAAGAGAAAACCTGACCGGGAGGCCGCCAACGATGCTGTGACTGCTAAGAAGATTAAGGCATCATCATCAGCTGCTCTGCATCCAAATCCCTTATTTGTCAAAAGAGATCTAGATGTCCATGGATCAGAGCTACATGCCTCCCGACATGCTCTTCAGGTGTTAGTTGGGAAGAAGAACTGAAGAAGAAAAAGCGACGATTTGCACTTCATATAACACAGATGATGAACATAGAATGGCGCTGAGAAACTTTGAGTTGTAGGAATAGCCTTTGTTTTTATTAGATATTTAGATGTTCTTTTGATTTCTTTTTGTTGTCCTCTTATGCATTTATATATGGAAACTATGAAAACTACCAAAATGTGAGATGGATATTGAATATTAACAAGTGTTAAGAAATTCTATATTGATTTTTGGTCTCCTGTTAATTTGTCGCTGCTAATATCTTTTGCTTTCCTCTTTGTTTATATAAAAAAGTGTTGGGCACTTTAGTGCCCCATTAGATGGGACCGAGTCCCTTAATAATCCAATCGTTCTTTTATTTTTTTTTAATATATTGGATAATTAGTTATACAATATATAAAAGATAAGATAGATAATTTTTTCTTTTCCACTTATTTTAAGATTTGAACTTAAAATTTTTAACATTAAAATTTAAGTTCTTTAGCATTAAAGCGTCTCTAAGGAGATTCAATTGTTCTTCCATCGCAGAACAATAGACTCTTGTTCATACATCGACGATTGTGTATAAACGGTAAGATGAATCTTTTTAATATTTTGATGTTATACCATTAGTTGATGTTTTTCTAATGTTGCACTAGCCATCTGACTCCCATATAGGTCATTTAAAAATAATTCATCAATTTATGTACAGTATATATTGGGTTTTTAAACTAAACTAAGAATACATGCTTGATTCATACAGGAAACTAATTAAGGTTAGATGAAAGTACCTTATAATTATGATGCTTTGTAAACAAATTCTTAGGTAGATCGACTCTTTAAGACTTTCAAAAAACAAACAAGTCCTCTAGTAGTAATCCACATGAGCAAGCAACTGCTATTCGTCTTATGTGTACCGCTTAAGAGGTACAGGAAAATCCCTTAGACGCCTTTTTTATGTATTACTACTTAATTAGCACTAAAATCTCACGCTCTTAGAAGCTAGGAGTAAGACCATAAACAACTCTAAGTCTAACGATGGCATGTTAAGCAAACAAGGAATAGATCTATTGAGAAAGTTAGTAAACAAAGTCTGTTTCTCTTAATTCTGGAAAAGAAGTTGCCTGAGTGGGAATGGGACCAACAAAGTGATTGTTAAGGCTATTTCTCTTATAAAGAATGCCACATCAACTTGTATGGTACAACAATGAAAGGTCTAAATAACTCTTAAATAAACTTGACAACTTTCCATCTCACTACATGTAAAAAGAACAATGGACTGTTAAAAACGCAGCAATGACTTGCTCAAGTGATCAAAAATCAAATTATTCAGCCTTCTGGTTAGCACCAATATCCTTAAGCTTTTCTTTCGGTTCACCACTCTGCAAAGAACAAGCATGAAATTAGCGCAATAGCATAATAGTAAAGTGGTTGACGTAGAGGTTTTGCTGAAGAACAGCAAAAAGAGGTAAGAACTAAGCTGGTGAATATTCATAATTATATCTGAACCCCCAATTAACTCTCCCTTAACGAATATCTGAGGAAATGTTGGCCAGTAGTTGCATAAAGAAAATAAGATATGCATCAAAGTGCATGTTTTCTTTAATCTTCACAATGAACAATAATTGACACTAATGAATCAACAATCAGCCAATCTGCCAATCAGCATGGTGAAAAGCAGTTAAATCCTCAGCTCATAGATATTTTATATTAACACACCAGTCGGTCCCTGTCAAGATCAAAGACACTGACCCGCCAACATAACCTGTGTCAGCCACTTGGGCACCAAAGAAGTTTGTATTAGTAAAAGGGTAGTCCTCCTACCTAAGTTGCTTAACATGATTTTTATTTTTGAAACTCTACTGTTGTAGTTACCGATGCAAATAAGGAAAGAAATAATATATTTATTGGAATTTATTATGATTTTAAATATATAGGAATTAAATGGAATGGTAACTTATATTTATTAGAAATTATTATTCTTTTTTTTGATAAGCAAAAGAGATATTAATGGGAGTACAAGGGGTACTCCAAACCCTTATACATTGTTATAGAATTATGCCTCAAACTTACATAGCTGAGGGAATATGCATCAATCACTTAAACATACATAACATACTACTGTAGTCTTTAATAAAATTATGAAAATATCTTCTTTCTCAAGCATAATGCCATAAGAACTATAATTAAATTCTACTGTGTTTAAAGGGTTTTGATTTTTCTGAATAATTGTCAAGTGATTTTTATGCAAATTATAAATTGAGATGCCTAAAGCTACTCTCAAAATATACCATGGCATGAGTCATAAGATAACAAACTCATTGGAAGAACAATCCTCCGCTTTAGTTCATAAGTTCTGATTTGATTAGTTATATTATCTATTCAATTATAGGAAGTTAGCAAAGGAATAAAGAAAAACATCTTCAAAACAATGATTTAATGTTTAAACTATTCTTTTATTTTTTATTGCTATTGTGATACTCATACAAAAAAAAAAAAAAAAAAGAGAGAGAGAGAAAAGCCCGCCTACAAATAGTCAAACAACAGGTCTCACTTGTTGTTTGCCTTTTTAATTTCTCCACAATCTCTCAAAGTTTCTAGCTAATATTAACAAGAAAGCTGACCTAGAAAAGACATTTTGCATATGTACGCAGCGCACATCCAAAAATATGTGCATCTAGACATCTTATAGATTAATCACTAATCGATAACTGATCAGGAATGGATGAAATTCTCAAGTCATTATTTTGCACACTACTTACTGTAATGTTTCAATACTCTTACTGCCAGTAAACTGAATCCACATTGAGGAAATTCAGGAACTCCTTTCATGTAGATCATCACAGGGTTTTCCTTGACATCCTATAAAGGAGTTAATTACAATCAATATCACTAGAGAACACAGTTAAAGATAAAGATAAAGATAATTAAAAAAATCCGAAAAAAAAAAAAAAGAACTTGAGGTTAAGAACATTGTTCATCAACATTATATGAAACTTCTCCAAGGACATACCCACCTGCTCAACAACATCCTTCAAAGAAACAGTAGAACCCTGAAGCTTATTGGTGGGTCTAAAATCTTCATGTGTATCGGGATCCTAGGGAACATTAACTAAGCACCTCTTGCCATTTATGTAGAATTATGCAGATACCTTTTAACAAAACCATGAGCACATATCAGTATTTTCATCCGTAGTAATGTGAAAGGGAATAACACTAGAGCACAATGTGCAATTCAAAAAATAACAAATTCAGACAGATTTTGGGAAAAAGTACTGCAAAAATGGATTTGGAATGCATGACATACTCAGTGATGATATTTTGAATGACAAAAATAATAGGGCTAATGAAAGATCCCTTTTGACACTTACAATTCTACTCGATCGAGCAGCTTGGATACCTTCCAAACTATACCATCAGGAGAGAGTAGTAACTCCGAAACAATTGATTGTCTACACAACTCAACAAACAGAAAACCATTCATAAATTTGCATCAGAAACAGGGTTCCCTTATTTTAATATTATGCAAAATAAGATTGGTTGCATATTGATCATTTGCTCCTGGTTTGGGTTGATTTTCTATGCAGGAACTATGCAATGTCCATGGTAACTATGTTTTACAGAATTATAGACTTCTCTTACTGCTTCAAAATCCTTAAACAAGGCTTTGACAAGAACCCACCAGGATTTGGCAGATCCTTGTTCGTCCAATGAATATACAATTCGATATATATGCTCTTTTGGTGCCAAGAAATGAATCTAGAACGGTGTCTTAATATCACTGGATGAGGATTTTGGTGGAACTTGCAGAGGAAGAATATATGATTAGCTGTCAGATTGTTCTATTGCACAACATGAACTCATGGCACTGCATTGACTGGCCGATAACTATTATCTTAGACTAGATCCCTTGTTGCCACAAATGGAGTAAAAGAAACACTGTTGCAGATGTTCAGGAAACAATCCTGAATTCCTGATCGGTAAAATAACAATGTTATAAATTTTCTAATTGTCAGAATTTGCATGCCGCAATTTTTCTCCTTTTTTTTTTTTGGAAAGGCAAAAAAATACTTTTATTTTGAGTACAAGGAGTACTCAAACCTATTTACCTATGTACCTATGCACTTAAGCACTAACATTACATAGATGGGGATTGAGGAGCCAATCTGAGAAACAGTACCTCAAAACCTTTCCTCCTTACTTGAACTAAATCAAATATCCTGTTTATATCCACCACTTTATGGTTGAACAAAATCTCATTCCGAGTGAGTCATATAGTTCATACCAAAGCAAACCACACCACCTCCCAACCAATCCTCATTTGTTTGGACACCGCAATACCATCATGGCTGATAAAGACACCCAAACATTACTGGCCAACACAGTTTGAACACCCCATCAATTCAAGCATTTATTCCAGATTTCAACAATGACTTTACAAGTAAGAAATAAATGATCACAATCTTCCATTTGTTCCTGGCAAAGGCAGCACACCAATTCTGCAGGATCCTTCATGATGCCTCTCTTGAATAAATTGGTTTTAGTGGATACTCTATTTAAAAGTAGTTGCCAATTAAAACCACATACCTTTGTTGGGGCATTTGGATTCCATACTCTTCCAAAGACATACTTATGACTCTTCTCCTCTGTGGCAGTAAGATTGGAATATCCTGATCTTGTTGCATGGCAACCATCCATGCTAAATTTTCAATCCCACTTGTCCTTTCGTCCTTGATATAGTTTAGTCGATTCCAGCACCTTTTCTAATTTCTCTTTTGCTTGGGATTCCATCTCCATGGTAACGCCCAGCACATTTATCCCCAATGCAAACTCCCATTTGCTTTATTTTGTAGTCCATACCTACAGAAAGCATATAAAGGCTTGCAAATCTGTGAGCTAGGACACCCTCCTTACTCCATGAATCCCACCAGAAACTAACTTCTTCACCATCTCCTATTATTATCTCAAACCCATTTGATAACCACCCATTTCTATTTTCTCCCAATACATCTATCCTACAAACATCTTTCCACCAACTAGAACCCTTCCCTCTACCATCCTTTACATATGACATCCAATTATCATTCCCATTACCATATTTTTCCCTAATTAAGCTACCCCACAACCCCACCTCCCCCTTAGCAAGCTTTCCCCACCACTTACCGAGGAAAGAAAGATTAAAGGCCCTAATACTCTAACTCCCAGACCCCCCTCATGTCTACCTTTACATACCTTCTCCCAACTGACCCAATGCACTTTCCTAGTTTCCTCACAACCACCCCATAAAAAATTCTTCCTGATTTTTTCAATAGTTTTCACAACACTTTTTGGTGCTAGGAAAACAGACAATAAGAAAACTGACAATGACGTAGAACAGAGTTTAGAAGTGTTATTCTACCTCCCAACGATAGCCATCTCCCTTTCTAACCTGACAGCTTCTTCTTAATGGAGTCCACCAACGGTTGCCAAAAAGAAAGCCTTATGTGATTCCCCCAACCAACATTCTCAAGTATTTGAAAGGAATATCACCAATCTAGAAATTTAGCAAATATGACATTCTGAGTGTCCGCTCCTCTCCCATATTAACACTTATCAACTGACTGTTCGAAAAATTTACCTTGAGCCCAGACACAAGCTCAAAAGTTCTCAAGATGGACTTAGCAGCCCACAGATTGCTCTCTGTAGCCTTCCCAAAAAGGATTGTGTCATCAGCGAACTGAATATGTGAGAAGCTTACACCATTATTCCCCACAACCACACCCTGAAACAAATTTTTTCTAATGGCAGAATGAATGAGCCCATTTGCATGCCACAACTGTTCCTGTTATTTGACACAGCAAGGTCGTATAACTCTTCAGTGTAGTCATCTGAAACATTTTGTTAGGGAAAGTGCCAAACTACCTTGTATTGATAGCATCGTATGCTGATTAATTGTTTGTTATTCCTCCAGGTTGATGGCAATTTTGAGTTTGTGAGATTATTTACTGAGAAATATTATGTTATTTATTTGTCTAAACTGATGTTAGAGCAATCATTCTTACAGGCTACACCTCTCCAAACATCTTCCACAATGTAACCTTGCACTTTACGGTAGGCTATATTATGCTTTCCTGTCTAGAAACAAGATGCAGTTCAGCTAAATTTTCTTGGTTATTTTGGTTAGTTCATAGTTAGTTTAAATTGTTGTATAAGTAGGCAAAGCAGCTTGGTACAAAAGTTTTCAGCTTAAAACTTCAAGAGCAACGAATGCTAATGCCAAATGGGACGAAGTTGGTTGGTTTTAATGTCTTGAGAATCTTAAATTGATGAGGATGGCTTTTCTTTGAGCACACTGGTTGATGCAATGCATCTGAGTGCAATAATGGAAAGGAAATT